TTTTGAAGTATGGGGTAAAGCTTGTAAAAACTATCACAAATCCTATTTTTATTCAACAGAAAAGAGCTCTAAGAATTATTACTAGAAAAAATTACAGCCATCCATCGAATATATTGTTTTATGAATTGAAATTATTAAAATTCTATGATTTGGTCTATTATAATATTTTGCTGTTGATGTACAGAGCTTATGAATGTGTGTTACCTTGCAACATTCAAGTAAATTTTGTTAAAAGAGAGCTGTTATTATCTTAAGGGAATAGAAATGTTTGTGAAACCCTGGTTTTGTACGAGCCTGGAGGAGCGATCCACTTTAATCCAGGGAATAAGATTGTGGAACAACATGGATGATGAGGTTAAAAATACCAGATCTTTGTAAAGAGAATGATAAAATCTAGTATTCTGAAGAAATATGGAGAAGCATAAGTGAATTCATGCAAATTGTTGTTTTGGGTTGGTGTTTTAAATTTAGCTTTGTTTTTAGTTTTTTGTGTGTTTTCAGTTGTTTGGATTTTTGTTGTAATTTACTTTTTACTTAGAACACATTTTGGGTATAAAAGGGGCAGATATAAGATTTATTCTTCTGCTGCCTTTCATTCTATTTGATTTTATTTTGATTGCATGTTTTTTTTCTTTGTTGTGTGATTAGTTCTTCAAAAGTTACCTTTAAGTTAATTTTTATTGTTTTGTGATATTAATAACGCTAATATATTGATATTTTTCTAATTTCGATCTAATTTTGCATTGGTTTAGCATCGTTACAATTGCTAGGTGACATGACGTACGCAGGGGTAAGGACGGGAGGCTAGACCGTCCAAATTCACAGCCTCTTTTTTTCCTGTCTTCCCGGTCTACCAAGGACCCGGCCCACCTTGACCGGGTAGACTGGGTCTTTCGGAGGACCCAGCCTGCCGTTTTGGACACAGCCATTCTTTGAAATGTAGGTTCTGATAATTATAACAAGTCATGTTTAGACGCTGGACTCTTTGTCTGCTGTTTTGGTAATGGCAACTGAGGACACTCACAGATACCCAACCAAGATGGCGGCTTGAATTTTTATTGGCTGTGTCTAAATTTAGGTGCTGCGTCCTTTGAAGGACATGGCTTACCCGGTCAAAGTGGACCAGTTCCTTGGTAGACCGTGAAGACAGGAAAAAGTGGCGGTCTAGCCTTCAGCTTTATTCCCACCCTTACCCTGGCGTCTGTCCTATCACCTAACAGCTGTGATGATGAACAGAAGAAAAAACAGATCAAAATTTGCAAAATATCAATATATTAACATTATTAATATCACAAAAAAATTAGCTTAAAGTCAATATTTGAAGAACTAACGAATGTACATGCTGTTTTCGCCATACCAACTTGTTTAATTTCTGGCAATAATAATAATAAAAACATGTTTATCCAAATGAAAAACCCTTTAACAACACAACTGCTTTAACCTTTTAAGCCCTGTTGGGTCCAGTACAGGGCCGACAAGAGAACTGAAGGAAATATTCTAAAATCTTGTGGGCTTAAAGGGTTTTTAAACTAAAAAATTTTACACCGCCAGATTTTTTAGAACTGTATTCCTTACTCATGCTTCGTCCACCATTACAAGCAAAATAAAATCTTCAGTTGGCCAGCAATGCATTATGGGATATGGTTGGCCAAGAAGAATCCACCTGACCCGTCCCTCAAATCAGGGGAAAAGGAGGACTCAGTTGTCAGCCACAATCAGTGGAGTGGCAGCCCCTGCGTTTGGACACAGCCCTAGTGTTATTATAAAGTATGCAGGGATCAGCCATTCCAGTGGGCTGCACCTTCAGCAAGTATAGTTGGGTGTGGCTGCTGTACCCTGATCTTGTGTTGTTACAAAATTTGGTCCAGGAAGATTAGGAAAGAACAAAAAGTTGGCTGGACAGTGGTAAAAAATCACGGGGTTCAAGAGTTTGCCTTCATTAGTGTATATTGGACCACTGACTTGTTTACAGCAGAGGAAATACAGGGGTGTACAGATTATCGGGAAATGGGTGGTGGATATGATTTCTAGGAAACAGTTGATGAAGGTTTCCAATGTGTGTGTGTATGTGGAAAAACTCACAAATCTTGGCTAAGGTTTGGTCTGATGACGTGCAGAGAATGTATAAAAGGCATGAGAGCTCTATTTCGGGGTTCTCTCATTCTTGGTTTGTTCTCTGTTAAGTTTGACTGTCTGAGAACCACGTAACTTCAATAAACTCCCTCAAGTTGGCCATCAGTCAAGTGTCATCTGCGTGTTATTGATCTAAAGAAATAACAATAACAATTCACATTTAAAGTCAGTTAGGAGTTGCTGTGGAACCTAACGTTTTAAAATTTTACAAGGTAACCAGAGTACCTGAAGAAAACCCACACATGCACAGGATGAACGCGTAACGCCTGAGATTTGAACCTGGAGCCTTCTTGCCGAGTCAACAGCTCTAACCACTGCACCATCCTGCTGCTTTTAAGTCCAAACAGTGCAGAAATATTTAACTATTAAATATGAATTTATGAATAAACCCATATTTGGACTAGCTACTTATTTATTCAGAGACAGTATCTGCTGGAGCAACCCTGCTGGTGCTCAGTGAGGCACTGCCTCCTGCAGCTCCTGCATTATTTATGCAGCTTGCATGGAGTCGTCATGTTTCAGCTGAACTCTTTACCCAACACTGACTTCAACACAGCAGCTATGGATCAGGAACGTGCATGACTTCTGTTTTAGATATCAGAACCAAAGTTCTGTCAGTGTTTTTCATTTCATACAGAAAGCTGATGTTTTGACTCTTGATAAACAGTTTAACAAGTTGAAGGTGTTTTTTTTTTTAATTTTATTTAAATGCCAGCTGTTGCTTTATTCCAGATCCATGTGTAACAAACATGGAAGTTTTATTTTTGACACAGATTATAATCTGTAAATGCACACAAAGAAAAAGACCTGTTGTGTTTGATGAAACTAAATAAACCGTAATGACCACTGTTAGGTTTGGAGGACAGAAGTCTGTAAACCTGAGACACGGTGAGGGTGGCAGCATCATGGTGTGGGGGTGTTACCACAGGAGGGGCTGGTGCACCTCACATTTTATCATGAGAAAAAAACATTTTGAGGAAAAACAGGTCGTCTTTTTATCCAGTGGAAGGAAACTTCTGGTTTCAACTGCATGTAGAATACCAAAGTAACGGACAGATGGAGTGACCTCTCACAATGTCTCATGAAATCATGCATCACGATATTTTCAAGGTTTGACTGAAATAACTACAATTTCATAATTATTTGTTTTAGGTTGATATTGGTCTAAAACTGTGAGAAGCAGCTGGTGATAATCATTCCTGTAACTAAATGTTACGCCATTAATTGAACCAAAGTTTCCATGTAACATCAGTTATTTAAAATAGTTTAGTACAGATGTGTATAATACTTGTAATCCAACTTTAAAGTCTGTATTATACAGCACTCTGTGTGTAGGTGGGTGAATCCTTTATAACCTATTATAATCATATAATACTATATTGTGTAAATAGTGGAGATTATATGACAAAGTCAGTTATTAAATAAATTTATTACCTTTTAAGTTTTTCTTTTGGCTGATCTCTCAAGGGGTTGCCTCAGTGAACAAACACAACCACGGACCACGTGAGGCCACCAGTTAGGGGGCGCAGGGGAGCATGTTGGGGGTTAAGGGTCTTGGTGAAGGAGTGGAGGGTGGAGGCAGGTGTGGTCTTTCATTTTTCCCACCCACATTTTAGATATCAGTGAATTCAAACCAACATCTTCTCAATCACAGGCTCTCTAACCTCTGCATCGTCACTCACTTTATATATTTCTAACTTTTAATCAATATATTTGTCTTGTAATAAATAATTTAATTAACTCCTAGAGTAATTACTTTATATTGATGAAACAATGTACAACTCAGTGTATACATTGTTTCATGTTTTTGATTTTTTTTATATGTGTACCTTTTTTTTGCTGTGAAGTCTTTTACCAACGTTTTTATTTTTGATCCTTCCAAAACATTTTATCTGAGATCTTTTTGCTTAAAACTTTCAGTTTGCTGGTTTCTGTGAAACCTGACCACCGTGGAGAGCAAATCCACTCTGTCTCTGAAAAACTGTAAATAAACACTGAGTAGTTTCTGAAGCCTGAGTCAGCAGCTGAACACTGGAACTTCCCACCTTTCTGGGTGTGTGCAGCATTCTGCAGCACCTCTGCTGTCTAAAGGCTCCCACATACTCAGGCGTACTGTGTGCATTCCATGAGCCGCGCGGACTCCGTGCGTATTGTCCGCGGACGGTTGAGAGTTCATACTCGAACGTACTGACCGCCTGACGAGTTCTTTAATTTCTCGCAATTTCAGTCATGATGTCAAGGATCAGGAGGAAGGGATAGTTTGCATTTTAGCTTTAAAACAATAAAAGAAAAAAGAAAAGAACTACCTCACCCAGGATCAGAGCTATTTCCTCCCACAAATTTGTTGCTCGCTGTAAGTCTTTATATTCCTTCATTAACGCATCATAAAGTTTTCTAATCTCCTCCATGAGACGCTCTTCAAGATTTGACTCCATCTCTTCCACAAATGACACCGATTCTCAACTTTTTCAGCTTGGTGTCGCACCCAGAACAGTACATGCCACGTAAAAAAATTGATCTCTGCGCGGACCAGTCCGCGGATGTCCGCATTGAGTCCACCTCGAGTCCGTGCGGACCTCCGCGGACCGAAGTACGCCCGAGTACGTGGGGGGCCTTGAACTTCACCATCAGTCAGTAAAACACGTTTCCTGTCTTCTCTCTGTCTGTGTGCGGCTAATGAGTCATGCTTGTGTTTATATTTATCTGGAGTTAGTGTTTCTGCTCAGATTACATTCTTATTCTTATGTCRCTGCCTCAACATTCATTCATTGAATCAAATATTCATGGCCCTGTGTTTTTGCCCCTGAGGGCAAACCTGCCACCCTTTGTCATTCTCATTCTCCTCCACCCGTCTCCTCTCTGTGCAGGTGGTACTATGGGAACATAAATCGCAGCAAAGCTGAGAAGCTGCTGCTGGCTTCCCAAAACAAAGATGGAGCATTTCTGGTTCGCATCAGTGAGAGTCACAGTGATGAGTACACAATCTCTGGTAAGTGCCTCTATCTTCCTG